TTACCTGTCCTTTTGCTTGTGGTAATGGACCCACGATATCCATTCCCCACTTCATGAATGGCCATGGTGATATGAACGGATATAACAATTTCGCAGTCTATGCATGTTGTTACCGCACCTTTGACATTTATCACATTTAGCTACAAAACGTTCCGCTTCTTCCTCTATTTTAGGCCAGTAGTATCCTGCTCTAATCAAGGTTCTTACCAGTGATCTTCCTCCTGCGTGACTCCCGCAATGCCCCTCATGTATTTCCCTCATTACATACTCCGTTTGAGAAGGTCCGAGGCATCTTGATAATGGACCACCGAATATCTTACGATAAAGATTCCCTTGTTTTAAACAGTAACGAGCAGCCTTTTTTCGAAGTGCATGCGCTTGCTTCTTGTCATTAGGGACGGTACCATACTGTAAAAAAGCAACAATTTCGTTTCTCCAATCCCAAGTTAAATTATTAAAATTTACCTCATTCTTATCTGGTTCGAGAACTGAATGAAATAAATGTATAACTGAAGCATTTGCATCTTTTGCCACATCAACTGCGGATGCGAGATTAGTTAAGGCATCTGCTTCAACATTTTCATCCCTCGATATCTGTATGACCTTCCAAGTTTGGAATTGCTTTATCAGTTCCCGTACCTTTTCCAAGTACTGTTGCATCCTTGCTTCCCTAGCTGTTTAAGTCCCTAGCATTTGATTAACCACGAGTTGCGAGTCACTTTTGATCACTACTTGATTTATACCAAGTTCTCGTGCCAATTCTAAACCTGCAATCATAGCTTCATACTCCGCTTCATTGTTAGTTACGGAATGACATTTAATAGCTTGCCTAATAGTTTCACCCGTAGGTGGTACTAAAACAATTCCTAATACTGCACCTTTTACGTTAGATGAGCCATCAGTAAATAAGGTCCATGTTCCTGGATTAGCCCCATTAAGTACTTATACTTCTTTTTCTGCTTCTAGTTGCATCCCTTGGCTAAAGTCAGCCACGAAATCAGCTAATATCTGTGATTTTATTGCTGTTCTAGGTAAGTACGTGATTTCATATTCACTTAGCTCTATGGCCCATTTAGCTAACGTTCCTGACAATTCATATTTATGCAATATATTACGTAGGGGGTACGCAGTCACTACAAAAATGGGAAGACATTGAAAATATGGTCTTAACTTCCTAGATGCCATGATTAGAGCAAGTGCTAATTTTTCCAATTGTGGATACCGTGTCTCTGCATCTAACAAAGATTTACTAACATAATAGATAGGAGATTGTTTACCCTGCTCTTCTCGAACCAAAACCGCGCTTACCGCAACTTCTGAAACAGCAAGGTAGATGAAAAGTTTCTCCCCAGCCTTGGGTTTTGCTAGCAAAGGTGGATTTGACAAGTATATTTTCAAATCCCTAAGTGCTTGTTGACACTCCTCATCCCATTCAAAATGATCCTGCTTCTTAAGAGCCGAGAAGAATTTGAAATATTTTTCCGATGATTTAGAAATGAACCTTCCAAAAGCTGCGATTCTTCCTGTTAGTCTTTGAACCTCTTTCTTGTTTGAAAGTATACCAGGGATTTCTTCAATGGCCTTAATCTGTGCAGGATACACTTCAATACCACGGTTAGAAACAAGAAAACCTAAAAACTTACCTGATGCCACACCAAATGCACAGTTTTCTGGATTCAACTTCATATTATATTTTCGTAAAATTTTAAACGTATCAGACAGGTGCGATATATGATCTTTTGAATGTTGAGTCTTAACTAGCATATCATCTATATATACCTCCATGGTTTTACCTAAATGTTCTTGAAACATTTGGGTGACCAACCTTTGATACGTTGCACCTGCATTCTTAAGACCAAAGGGCATTACCTTATAATAGTAAGTCCCCTGTCTGTTATAAAAGAGGTTTTTTCTTCATCTCCTGGATCCATCTTGATTTGATTATAGCCTGAATATGCATCTATTCAAACTTAGTAGCTCATGCCCTGCAGTAGCATCAATTAACTGATCTATGTGCGGTAAAGGAAAGAAATCTTTTGGACAGGCTTTATTAAGGTTTTGTGTAATCTACACAGACTCGCCACTTACCGTTCTTCTTAGGAACCACAACAGTATTAGCTAACCAGTTAGGATATTTTACCTTACGAATTGAACCAATTTTTAGCAATTTTTGAACTTCCTCTTGAATCACCTTATTTTTGAAAGTTCCTTGCTTTCTTTTCTTTTGCTTGATGGGAGGATATGATGGATCTTCATTCAATTTATGAGTCATGACTTTCGGTGGTATCCCTGTCATGTCAGAATGGGACCAAGCAAAACAATCTGTATTAGCTTTTAAAATTTCTATCAATTTACGTTTTACCTCCGGGCTAAGATTAGCTCCTATGTACACTTTTCTCTCGGGCCAATGTATAAACAACACGACGGCCTCTAGCTGTTCTATCGTTGTTTTGATGTTCTCGTTCTCCTCCGGTTCTTGAATGGTATCAGGTCTCGAATCCACATCTGTTTGCTTTTGCTCAGGTGAGGTTGACACCGTGTTACCTTCACCTAAATTCTGTAATTGCTATTTGTCTTCATCCTTAACAGTTGAATCTGTAACGGAATTGATGCTTCTAGATGTTTGTTGATCGCCTCTGATTTGGCGTATTCCCTATGGAGATGGAAATTTAATAACTTGATGT